TCATTATCCACCAATCATGATTAGTTTTCAGCATGCAAGATCTAGCATCAATTTCCCGTAGATTCCCCTATCTATATATAGCTTTTTTTTTAGGTTCTAGCTATATATAGCTTGTGAAACGTTTCCAGAGACAAAGTCGGTCACTAGCTTTTCACGTGGAGTCGACGAGTACGCTGTCACCGGGACAGTGACTGCGCCTGCGACGACAAATTGACGGCGAAAGAATTGCTGCTTAATTATCTATACGTAGCCGCCGCCGTATGCACAGTATTCAGACACATCATCAACCACGATCCTCACGTGGTTTAATTTGCACCGTGCCGTTTAGAACGTGGATTCGTAACAATCAAAGGAGAGGTGGATCACTTACTGCCGCAAGGCTAATTAAAATTTTATATTGAAATTTCATGTGTTTCAGTTGTACATATATCTCATACAACTCGATCTATAGGGCTTTTAAATATAGTTTACATACACAATAGTCCTAATTTTAATAATCACAATTTGATACCAATTCCAGTAACTTTTGGAATATCTGACATACACTAGATGCGCTATGCCCCTGGACGGAGGGAGGGTATGTTACTCCCTCCCTTCCGGTTTGTTTTTCTCGAAAAGGAGGTTGAAACCTCCGGCCTCTCCATCCAAGGATGGACACAATCATCTTTATTATATTCTTCAACGGAGTCTGACCAAACAATTACATGGATCAACCAAAAGCTATCTTCCTGGATCTCTGTCGCTACACCTATAAGTTTGATGATGTGCTCTAACCTCACACTAGAGCACACTGTCTAATCTGGTGGTCTCACCAAACCGCCCCATGACGAGCCGAGAGCATCAACCGGTCTAGCAGATCCTTGGTGCGCACAACATGTGCACACTCTTGAATCCGCTGCCCCCATCTTTCGTCGTCCCATCTTCAGAAGAGATCAACGCATTGACCTTGCCAGGCCCAACTGTTGTCAACGCCACCACAACGGCAGACAACGCCACCTTCCTGTGTGCTCCCATCACAGAGATTCCACTACGCCATGCCGTCTAGACCTGCCGCCGTCGATCTGGTAGATGCAACATAGCTCCACCTCTAACCCCC